CAGTTTCATAGCTCTAATAAGATTTCCATCTATACAACGGTAACGCTTTCTTACGATGTGTAATTTTTCTGTGGGCAAACATTCTCAGTAGGTGATCATAAGACATGGAATCTCTCTTTAATGTTTTAGGCCGTCCAGCAAGCTTTCGATGTGATTCTAAAAGGCAGCACATGAATACTGATGCAAATAGCCACACGGCGAGTGAGAATCCGTGTATGTAGAGAACGGAGAATTACATGAATTCGGCAAACCTACACAACTGATAGAATGCTGTGGACGTTGTTACCGTCTAATCAAAAAGCATTATCTCGCCACATAACCTGAGACTTTGCAGAAGTACCGTAGAGCTGTGAATGAACAGTGCAATCGATCCATCGCTTTAACTGTAAGCAGTAACCACTTCTACATGTACAGTCTTTAGAACGTTGTAATTGCATCCCGCAGACCTCTTGATGTGATATCTCGAAGATGCTTTAGATGAAAAACCATGGGAAATGGAAATGTAATTAGAAATCGTTAGGAATAAGAACTTTTAAGAATTAGAAGAAAACTGGAATATAAATGAAAACTATAGGGTTCACATGTAGCGCGCCGTATAGGCATGAAGGACACATATGTTTAACATTTCCTAATTACCGCGAAAAATCTCTTATGAGAGATTTTGTTTTCTGTGTTTTTGTTTGTCCGTTTGTTTTTTGAGTCATCATCCTCTTCATTACTAAATTGATCAATATTTCACTTTTACAACATTTTTCATTGCGATTATGAAATCAAAGAAACATGAGGAATCCAAGAAGCATTTCTTGACTGCTGTGTTGCAAGAGTTTCGTTGCTTCGTTGTATTGAAGCGATCTTCCTGAAAGTCAAATCTCAAGGATCTTCTGGAACACTTTTATCATTAAGGGAAACAAATTCCTCTTTGTCCTTTTGTTAAGCGTAAATGCTATTGTTTAAGAGCGAATTATCATTGTCAGAATTTCGGTAGTCTAAAGAAATTGGATCGGAGTAGTTTTCAGCAATCGTGAGGTTGTTACTCAGCACATGTTTATTTCCATACACAAAGAACACATACAACACAACGGCAGCTGACGTTAACGTTATCCGTTTATCATGCCCTTAATTAGCAATGAAATAAGTGCAGCGATAAAGCAATGCTAAGAAGGGCAGATCTAGAGGAATAAGTAGCGATAATTGAAATACCACCGAATACTCTTCGTCGTCAATTAGCTCGTAACCGCCTTTATGACCATGTGAAACACCAAACTGCGTAGTTTACCCTTATGACAGGGACTGTGATTGCTTGAGTTTAGGTACGATATACCTGATTTGTTGTAGTACTTGTAAAGACAAATATATTGGTGAAAGGGGCAGACGTTTATATATCCGCATAAAGGAACACCTAGATGGCAAACGAAAAACGAGACAAGGTACGCCACTAGGGACACATAGGATACAAAAGTATAGCGGAGAGATTTTTAAAACAAAAGTCGCTATCCTTGCACAGGATTCCAAAACACCAACGGGCAAACTTCTCGAGACCTTTTAGATAAATGCCAAGAACCCGAGAATGAATAGCAGGGAAGAACGCCCGCAGATAACACGTGATCTATCCCCACATCTCAGAATTGTTTTTTGATGAGGGGTGCTGCAGTCATCAACCATATGCGACTCTAAGCGGCTCCACGTCGAAGGAAGGTAAAACGAACGCTAGGTTTTCGAGAAGATGCAGATCATGTAATTATCGTTCAAGTTTTCACCATTCTGTTCGTACCGTTGAAAAGTTTGGCCTATTAACCTGCGCACAAAGGGGAAAGAAGACCCTGTTGAGCTTGACTCTAGTTTGACATTGTGAAGAATCATGAGAGGTGTAGTGAGTAACAACCTCGCGATTGCTGAAAAAGAAAACGCTTATAATCCAATGCTGAGGTTAGGAGAGAGTCGAACTTCGGAACTATCAAAAGTGTAGACTTCTTAGTAAAACAAATGAGCATAAGTAGCCCTTGTTCGCAGAGAATTTTATTCCAAATGATGTCATTTGTACTATGTAATACGAGTCTACAACTAAACAATCTCATCCAGATAGTTGACTAGAATAAAAAGATAGAGCTCTCGGCGTTGATCAATCCTTGAGGGATGCGCCATGCATTCGGCTTTATCGTTGGAAGTGATTGAATGCATATCTGAATACAATGACTCGCGGTGGCCTGCCGATGTATTGAGTCAGTGCTGCTATCCTCTCAGACACGCCTGGTACCAATTTGCCGACCCCGGAGGTATGGAAGGCTTGGTGGGCCATGAGCGCAGGGACCGATTCCACGTGTGTGGCAGTGGTGCCTCCAACCACTGCCCTACACGCGCCCTAGTTGACTAGAGAAAATAGAATCCCGTGATTATGCATGTATTCAAGGACAGCTAACAACAGGAAGAAATCAGAAACTTAAGAAGTGCCAGTGTGATAGCACAATCGAGGCAATATAAGTTAATTAGCTAGTTAATAAGGAAAAAGGGATAAAGTTCTCCGCGTTAACCAATCTCTGACAGATGCATCATTCATTCGACTTTATCAAACATAGTTGAAGAGATTGTATTTGTATTTCGGAATACATCGTTTAAGTTCTCTGTGAGCAATGAGCAGATATTCTTGGTGTGGTTGAAGCACTCTCTGCTGCATAACACTACAACAGAAGGATCATTGTGGCAAATACGTAGTCGTATTGTTTTGGGTCCGTTAACTGGTCGGTGGTTTCATTGACAGAACCGAATGCAGACAGGCAATGTTGCTCTCCTTGGCTATTCCCCCTTCTTCTTCTACATTTTAATTGGTAGTCTAAGATACACGCTAGTAGGTAATCTATGTAATCAGGGAACCACCCAATTCTTTTATCATGTTAACCCTTTCACTTGGAGATGACCAATCTAAGTTAACCGCCCTTTCGTGGTACGTCATATGACATCCTGCTTATCACAAGTACCTATTACCTATAAGTTGGTCGACAATGATAATGACCTGAACTCACGCAGCGATCGAGCGACTTTGATATATCGATCACATCTATGTAGATGAGAACTGTGGAGTTCCGCCATCGCCATTTTTGTCTTCAATTCTTTATTCAAAAGCTCTAGTCTAACTAAGCACTGAATATATTCAAGGTCATTGAATTGACGATATACTATCGGAAAAGCGTTTATCTATTGACTTATCATAGTAGGAAAGCCCACTATGAGTTGCAGAAAAAAATGGAGTGCGAATATGCAGCTACGTGTCGACTAGATTGACCAGAATTGTGAAATCATTCTAGACTTGCCAGCTACCTCGAACACGACTCATACCACGACGCGTGACTAGTGAGGTAGTAGAGGTGCCTCTCAGTACGCCCAAATCCCAGGTTCAGGCCCGAACTGGCCTAAAGCCCAGCCTCGGAAGAATACACTTCCTACAATCCACAATATGTCGCTACTGGTCTGTGATAAAGATTTAAGACCGTCCTAGCACGTCTATTTTCAGGATTCTTAAAACAGTCGACTATATCAGAATTCGACGATATTCTGAACTTATTGGCGGACGACACCTAGCTGTGCTAGTCTTTTTCACACTAAAAAAGACTTCCGGGTAACTAGAGGACTTAAAGGCTTGTGAATATAAAAGGTTTGTAGCAGACTTTATTCTATAGTTTTGTAGCTATGAATGGAATGTACGACACCATTTACTAGGTGTTACCACGGTTCGTCATTAAAACACAATTCTGCCAGTATTTCGATAGAATTGGCTCCTTATGCTGAGACTATTTAGGCATCTTTGTATCTGGACACCGTACAGTAGCATGATTCATCACTGCGGTTAAAGTGAAATAGTAGACTAAGTGTAGAGAATGGCTTTTCTGCCCTCAGCTCTCTTACTTTGATCCGCTTGCGATTACCTTCGACTGAATGTATAGTGTATTACAAAAGTTCTGTGATCCACTGAATTACAAATGTACACCACTATTATGTGTCCGTTATTAGTCAAAGTAGACCAAGTATCTCCACGCCGAATCGACATGCAAAATTCGAATACCATCGCAAGATATAAATGTAAGCAAACGAAAAGAATTAGTGTTGAAACCTACACCACGCGCGCCGTCAGGTCATGTAGAAAACAAACTGGTGCAATCTACACAAGCTCTGAAATGAATTCCGCACTAGACCCTATTTGGAATGAGTCACTTCCATAATTCGAAAACTCAAATGGTTAGTGTTACAGAAAAATATTAAAAGGCACAGTTGTAAGGCATTTTATCTGCTATCATCTATATAAATAAAGGAGTAATGAATGGTTCTTTTTACAATGATAGCTTCATGGGAAAGCAGCAACTACGCTCAAGGTTTAGGGTTAAAACTTCCTATGAAGGAGCATACAGCGGGAAATAAAACAGGAAATGGCAAGGGAATCCTCAGTAGAGCATCACAAACCGTTTATGGTAAACGATAGCTGCTGAACTAAGTAGGAAATGGGTCACAGTTTTTCTATGCCGATATGGCTTCCGGTCTATCATTTAGACACTTATCGAGCAAATCTTCTTCTATTTTCAAACAAATCATATAGAAAATCATTCAACGGCATCATATACTATAGACAGGCAGATTTCCAGTATTAGCAGAACTTGCATATGTATAATAAGTATTATATTTAATTAAAATAACTTACTTATTACGCCAATACATCATCACATATCGAACATTGACGAACCCAAGGAAATAAAACTCTCGTTGCTTTACAAACGGAAAACGTAACAAGAGCAAGAGAAAACGCACTGATGAATAACAATAAACTAACAATTCAGGGTTGCGGCTTAACACACAACAAGAACCCATATAGTGAAGAAAGTCACGCTCGTTGGAACCTACCTACTGAACGACGATGTGCATACAGCAACAGGATTCATAATAGAGAAGACCAAAAGGAAAACAATCAGATGGGTGAGCATGGACAAACATAATCGGATACTATAACGACTATAGGGTTAGCCAACGACAACCTTCCCAGTGTCCTCCTTGCCCGCCATCCGAGGTTTGCCAACAGTGAATGGAATGTATTTGTACTTTATCATGTGCTGAAAAATTTATTATTTTAAGGCGAGATATAACAAGACCTTAAAGGCTTTTTTGGTTCGATGTAGTGTCATTAAAATTCAAATCGAAATCACGGAATAGTGAGGACTACATCACATGAAGATTTAAAAATCGCAGAAGAATACAACTCAAAGGTTTTTTAAAATAAAGCTACAGCACAAAAATTGATAAAAAATAAACAGAGCGCGGCTTAACGATATTCACAATCTTTAAGTGGTTTTGTTAAGCAAAACCTATTTAATATGGTTACAAAAACTAAAGATTCTGGAATGAGATCTTAAAATTGCTCATAGAAAACTATTTGAATACATTTTTTACGTGTGGCTTCCAAGTAATATTGATATTTTCCTAGGAACGACTACGTTGCATTAAGTGCAATGGTTGGAGATGCTGTGGAGTTTTAGCTGCCGGTTCGATCCCAGTCCAGGCAAACCAAACACCCACCTTTCCGGTGTTGGTAAGTTGGCATCAGGCGTATCTGTGAAAACGTCGTCCTTTCAATCAACAAAAGACAGAGAATGACAGGGTTCAAGACCTAGAAGGACTCCATTAAAGTTATTCGGGATTACAAGAAGAATCAATTCGACCAGAATTCAATCACATCCTTGAAGAAGACTCAGGGCTCCTCTAGGCTGCCTATCTCTCTGAGGACTAAGGTGACAATCTGCGCCTACAATACACGCACACTTGCGTCTGGGTCCTCGACAGAAGACTTGATCGTGTAGGCAAGAAAGATAGCGAATGAGGTCATCGAGTTGACTGAGACGGGACGACGCCACTCAATCAACGCCGTCTACGACACCGGAGAAGAACTGTTCCTCGGAACATCCGACAGTAGAGGAGTCGGCGGCGTCGGCGTTCTCGTCAACACGAGTTTGTGCATGAACATGGATTCATTCGAACAACTTACAACCCGGATCAGATGTCTACGGATGAAGAGATGTGGATCAATACCGCCTTTAACAATCATCGTCGTTTACGCATCAACATCAAGCTATAACGAAAATGAAATCGAAGCTGGGAATTTTTAGGAATTCTACAGAGAAAGCTATACACTCTTTAAGTCTATCACTGGAGATTTCGACGCTGAAATCGGACCCAGAAGAACGTCTGAAGATCGTCACAATGCGATCAACGGATTAAAATGGAACGGGAAGGCTGATCGGCTGTCCGAGTTAATAATGTAGACCAAGACCATTCATGGTAACTCGTAATTCCAGAAGTCCCATCCTCAACGTTGGATATGTGTCCTAACAGAGAGTAGCATAACGAAATAAACCACATGACAGTAAATCGAAGGTTTTGTCTAATCGATGTCGCTATTACCCCAAAATTTTACATTGGATCAGACCATCGCCTCCTTAGTGCAAGACTTTGTTTCTCGCGGAGAGGAGAAGTCGCTAAATTCAAAAAACAAGTCCCAAAACCACCAAAAACTGGGATTTATTCTACCCATTAGTCAGCTATTGCGAAGATCCCGCTCTTGATAACATCGACGAGTAATGTGATCCACTTATTCAAAATCTTCGCGTTAGAGCTATGAAAGCAGAGTGTTCGAAAGTCACCCAAGAGAAGTCTGTCTCCGGAAACACATAAAGTGATACGCCAGCGTAGAGAAATCGCGCTAGCCACAACCAACCGAAAACTCAAGTCCGAACATGCAAAACAGTGTGGAAAGGCGATAAAAGGAAATTTTAAAGAGAGAAGAGCAGTAGCTATTGTCGAAGCTGCAGAGGCCTGGGAAAAGCATTCGCAAAGTCCACCAAAACCTTGCTCATTAGAAAATCAAAATGATCGCGCTGCGGCATCCAGATGAAACAGATACAGTTTCAAGAAAGACAATGGAGAAAATCATAGGTACGTCCTACTTCCCTCACCCCAAATAAGAACGATGAATATGTCGCCCTACCGGTTTTCCCTTCTGAAATTCTAAATGCTATTTTGCTAGTAAAAATTCCAACAGCACCAGGTTCGAACAGGATAAGATCTGAACACCTGGAGAACCTCCCATCAGTCGCTGTAAACACACAGGCTCGGCTCTTCACAAGTTAACTGCCTCTACTCAGAGCAAGACCAACAAGATCATGCTATTGTAAACAAGGTTGACCTCCACGATATCGGCAACTATCGCCTAATCTGCTTGACGTATGTCGTCTATAAACTCTTCACTCGAGTCATATTAAATAGGATTGGCAGAAAAATGAACGAAGCACAACCATTTGAGCAAGTAGAGTTTCGAAAAGGATTCAGTACGATGGAACATACCAACATCATAAGATTAATTGGTAAATCGCGAGTGTACAAGAGACCGCTCTGCTTCACTTTCATTGGTTTAAAGAAGGATTCGACTCTGCTGAGATATAAGCACTCATGGAGCTGTAGACAGCCGGAGCGCCCTAACTCAATAATGTTCGGTGATTATACCATCTTCGTTTTGGTAATAATGTCATTCATATAACAGCAACCACTACTAGCAAGGTGCAACTAGTGATTGTCGCCTTTGACGGAGTATACGAAAGATTAGTCTTCGGCAAAACGTCACGAAATCGATGTTTTGAGGAACGGATAAATCACGTATCGCCACTGATGCTCACTATAATAAATATCTTAGAACGCTCCAGCTACGCCTAACTAGGTCAAGAAAACAACTTGATCAATGACTTAGACCCTGCCTTAAAGCATGCGTCAGACACTTGGTCGTTGCGTAAGAAGGATGGAAGATTACTCAGCACTATTTTATGTAAAGTCGAAGAGACGATACTAAGAGTATCCTGTACCACGCAAGTGAGGGAGGAAACCTGAAGCTACGACCTACGTTGACAATTAAAAATAAAAGACTGCGCTTCAAATGCCTGTTGAAAATAACGGAGGAGCGAACATGTAGTGCGTATGAACGAGAACCAACGGATAGTAGACGATAGAGACTAGATTCCCCGGGATGTCAAACGTACAGCACCAACCTGATTGTTTGATGCCTTCATGAAAACTCTACAATCAAAATATGATGTCCAACAAGTTCCTAAAGTGAGCAGAACCACTGGGTTACTCTCACACGTAACAGGGGAAATGGAAGATTTGCTGGTTACCGGTCGAGTCGGTCGATGATTAACGGGAAAACCGATGATACAGGTGGTGGCGCTCAGGAAAAGGATACAAGTGCGGTGGTGTTCAAGAAAAGGACGGTATGTGTACTAGATTTATCGGAAATTTAAAAAAAAAGCTCTCTGCGTTGATCAATCCCTGAGGTATGCACCGTGCATTCGACTTCATTAAGGATCGTTTGGAAGTGACCGAATGCATATCTGGCCTTTACAATGACTCGCGGTGGCCAACCGATGTATCGACCCAGTGCTGCTATTCCCCCAGAAGAGTCTGGTACCGATTTGCCGACCCGGAGGGATGGAAGGCTTGGTAGGCCATGGGCGCAGGGATCGATTCCACGAGTGTGTTGCAGGGCACCTCTGACCACTGCGCAACACGCGCCCCTATCAGAAATTAGTGATTAAAAATTAATAAATCGTTCTCAGTCTCTTAAGAATGAGCCATATATCTTACTACTTAGTGGAGCAGAGGTTTACTGATATAGCAAACCAGTATTTTCACTCTCCTAGACAAGTCTGGTACCAATATACCAACTTAATGGGATGCAGGCTTGCCAGGCGCGAAATTTAATCGTCGACCTTGTGCGTATTGCAGGGGACTTCAGATCACTATTATACACGCCTTTTATTGAGAGCAGGGTAGTTGAACTATCAATCAGAAATTCTGTTATGTTGACTAAAGAGGAAAGAAAATCCAGGCAGGCTCAGACACAAATTAACAGTATCAAATATTTACAAACTTACCATAATCTGCCTCTTCATTGTCAAGAAGAATAGTATTATAAAGTACATAACAAGTATCGGCCAGAACACAGGTACGTTGAAGAATTCAAAAAACGTACACGTTGTGGCAATCAAAGTCGCTTTCATAGCGGAGTGCCTGTAATGGCATTGATGTTGGTGCAAAAACAAAATCAAGCATGCACACACAATGCATTGAAACCAAAACGTACTATGGAAAATAACAACAAACCAAAATCGTTAATAAATAAGAAAAGGATTGAAACTATATGAAATAAAGCTACATAGAAAAGGGCCATTTTAAATGAATACTCAAGAGTTTTTCCTTTAAAACGCTTAAGAACAAAGGAACATTAGAACAAATCCATTCCTTAGATTTATAGCACAACTTTACCAAATATTTTCCAAAAAATGGAGCACGAATTTAACAATAACACTTGAAATTAGTTTTGGGGAATGCACAAACTCAGAAAGTAAATGAATTTCGAAATTCTGATGCGCTTAGAATTCTTCGAAGTGTGACACATTCGTGGCCAGCTTGGGAATGAGTCCAATTCTTTGCCAGGCACGGTATGCACAGAACAGAAAGTGTGCTGTCCTAAAAAACCCCACAGAAAACAATCCGGTCACCTTTTTGCGACTTTCTCTCTATAATTGTTTCCCATGTAATTTGTTGATAATGTGTACTACTTTTACTTCCTCCCTACCATCTATGTTTTCCCACACATCTTGTACAATTTATTTGGGCCATTTCTTCTCCCTAGTGTGTAATGGAAAACAGTGGGCTAGCCACACAGCTACGGCGATGTCGGTCTGTGATCATCGGTTTTGTCGCAATATACGTCGACCATATTTCAGTATTCTTAACAATTCTTATACATTCTCAATCACATAATATGGTGACTCATTACAGTGGCTGGAAGGGACGAACCATCAATTTATTACTAGTCAGGAATTGAAAATCGTATGTCTAAATTATATATACTGAACATAAAGTAAGCATGATTTTAGACCGACTGCTCAGCGAGAGAGTGAACAAGAATGAAATGAAGAAGCTAAGCACACTGAGAGGTTATTTGTGCTCATTGTTGATCAGTATGGAAATAGCGAACGAAAAAAAGCGCTATTTACGAAGAGCTCAGAGTTTTCAAATTGCGTACTGTACCTCGAAATCTAAACTCCCAACAGCAGTTAATTTTGTGTAGTTTGGTGCTACATGTCTAGTTGGACAAAATCAATCCTAAGTTTTTATGATTGTTTTTGAGTATTACGCCAATATCAGCAATGGAAGCCAATGAAGAAGAAGCTTAAGAGTTGTTTTCAAAAAGATACTACGATGAAATTCGCTTTTTTTAAAGTTCTAAAACTTTCTTACGGAAGACGAGCCAAATAAGCTTTCAAGAAAACTACCAGGCGATTTCAAAGCAATGAAAACTTAAATAGATCACTACGTGCTTGATCTTATCAGTCTAACGTTCTACTCGGACTACGAATAGCGGAACCTAAAACAGTTCACTTATTCAGAAAATGTTCAAGTGCGCTAGACTAACAAAAAATTACAAAACCATCATGTAGATAATCAGTTATTACGAACCCAATACCGAGGACGACGTCGTTGTCATTACTCAGAAAGGTAAATATGTCCTCTTCCAGCATTCGCGAGGTAGTTATACAGCACATGCCTTACTTCCGTACAAAAAAAAAACACATGCAACACAACAGCACTTGACGTTTCAGCTATATCGCCTTCTTCAGGGCCGTTTTTAAGGGTAAAAGTGATAAAGGGCAAGTGGAAGGCAGGTTAAAAAAGGCTCTGAAGAAGGCGATATTCCCGAAGGCTCAACTACTGTTGTATTTTGCTTTTTTGTACGGAAGTAAAACGTGTGCTGTATAACAACCTCGAGGTTACTGAAGAAGAAAATGACACATTTGTAATCCAATGCCGAGGTTAATAGAAGGTCGATCTTGAGAACAGTGGAAAATATTATATAATTTATAACGACAGTACGACGAATACTGAATATCCTTGAAATGGTGAGAAAAATTAACCCATTTAGGAAAAATTAGGAGCAATCAATACATTATTTACCTACCAGCATTTGAATTCCGGAAGCCGACGCATAAACGGACGAAATTCGTCATTCGATTTTGAAGGAAGTACAGGACCGTCATCGTCATCTTCAAGTGCTGGATCAATAGAGGGTGTAAGAAAGAGAAGAAGCAAATTAAGATAGTAGATCCCGACAGCGTATGCAACAATATAGAAGCCCTGCAAAGAATACGACAATATCAAACACAGTAAAACTAAATGTAAATTAACGTCAACTCTTCCTTGGATATGATTATCAAATAAAAACTTACGACGGGTAACGAGTCTTTAAGTCATTTTATAAAAATTCTAAAAACATTTATCTCAGTGGATGTAACAAAATAGAAGGACTTCGAATAATCAAAAAGTAGAATTCACAATTGTCTCCTTTACCGCCTCATTGTGGCTGGGAGGTGTTCCTAGGTGTTCGGGCTGGGATGTGGAACGGGGGATTCATCCCCTCAGCCGGGTCTCCCAAGCTGAGGAGTTCAGCGTTTCCATCAGGGAGCCAATTAAGAGTAAACCAATACCGGAATCTACCACCGTCCTGGTATCAGACTGGTGGAAAATCTCCGTCTGATCCACCGGAGCAGCCTGTGGTGATGACGACCTGGGGCAGACTTAAGCAAGGCTAACCTCGAGACTCCAAAAAAGACAATGGCTACACTAGCAAAACAGCAAAAAATGGAAAATTTGCTGAGGGCCCCATACAACCAGAGATGACAGGACATCCAAGTATCCAAGTAAGAGTTCAACTACTGCGAGTAATGAAGTGGTTCGAGGGTACCCTGCAACAGACACGTATTCGTTTTCTTGTTCAGCAAACGCGATGTTTTTAAACAGCATACATTTACTTCCATAGAAAAACACAATACAATACAACACCAACTGACGTTTTGGCAGTATCGCCTTCTTCAGAGCCTGGAATGGTATACTGATATCCAATCTACTAAGCCAAACGCTTCAATAGTAGTAGATTGCATATTAGTATACCATTCCAGGCTCTGAAAAAGGCGATACTGCAGAGACTTCAGCTAGTGTTCTATTGTATTGTGTTTTTCTATGGAAGTAAATGTATACTGTTTAAAAACCTCGCGATTGCTGAACAAGAAAACGACGCATTCATATTCCAATGCCGAGGTGAATAGAAAGTCGATCCTAGGAACTATTACAAGACACGTAGTCGTTGGTTCGATCCTGCGCCACAGACCCGTCTAGCCCTCCATCAACAAACCTATTAAGCAAATGCTAAAAACTGCTATACACTAACTTGGAGGTAGAGTATTCTCATACAGAAAGTGAAAATCGCCGCAGCTGCCATTAGCCATCGAACCGCTGTTTGTGGTGTAAGTTTATCCAAATAGTACTGGTATTTCTGAAAATACAAAAGTTCGACAAAATCAAATGCAAAGAAATGAATGAAGTTCAAAGAGGATAAAAAGGACAGAGCTATTGACGTTGACCAATCCCTGAGGGAACCGCCATGCATTGGACTTCATTAAGCATCTTTGGAGGCGAATAAATGCTTACCTGGCCTTTACAATGACTCGTAATGGCCTACCGATGTATCGAGCCAGTGCTCCTATCTTCCCAGACAAGTCTGGTACCTATTTGCCGATCCTGAAGGGATGGAAGGCTCGGTGAGCCATCGGCGCGGGAATCGATCCCATGTGTGTACTGCATAGCACCTCCGACCACTGCGCCACATACGCCAAAGAAATTCGAATTCAAAAATGAAACGGAAACAACACCATGTTAGTAACGATGCCCCAAAACACAAAGTTTTTAACAAATTTTCTACACAAAAAAGATGTCACAACTCACGACTTCTATGCAATGGAAAAAACGGGAAACTACTCCTGGCCTATCTCTTATATCATCATCCATGTTTGAATAATTCTCTGAAAAGTTCCTAAAAAACAACACTGAGCCAAAAATACGGAAAAGAACTTTAAAGGAGTAAAGTTTGTAGCGAATTTTCGTTAAGAAAAAGAACGTTAAACGACGAAATCAACTGATATCCTTCAGTAATAAGTTACGAAGAGATAAACTTCTCACGAAGGTTCGATGGCGGCATAACTATATAAATTTACAGTCTTCGGTTATCCAATTTTTCGAATTATCACTAGAAATCGGTACTAGTTATATTCAATGAAGATAGAGGTGCTGGGTTAAACCACGGGGTTCTACTGCACTGGAAGACAAATATGATGCTCAAAATTGTACTCAGAGGCAAAATAAGAGAACGAGCGAGAAATCAGAAAACACGAACATGTGAGAAGGTTGAAACTGACCGATTTTTGAAGAACAAAACGAAAATATCAAAAGTATCAAAAAGTTAAAGGCAGTTATCGATTGACGGACACGATTGTACACGTCATATGATGTAGAAGACGATGGAACGTCCAGTTCTCGACACTCGTACACTGTGGACGATTACTCCCACGTTTCTGCTTCCACAAGGGAGAAAGAGGACTAGGATCAGACCCATTACCCAACCCAAAATTGGAGTGTCATTCCCATCTGGGAGGACCAGCATCCCACTTCCAATGATTTGACGCAAAATTGCGGACGCTGGAACAGCCAGCTCGAAATTAGTCTTGTGTCCTCGTCTTCCTCCTTCTTTAGGACTGCTTTTTAAAGCTTTTAACGCCATTGTTAGGAAGCCAAGATACGATCTACAAATTAAGGCCTTCACTTAGACCGTATAACTCTACGTAGTCTATATCATGACCTAAACGCATCTTTGCGTGCTCTACTGAAGTGGCCTAAGTTGTTTTTGGACCGTCTGTTTCATGGGCTAGTCTTTTCTTAAAATGCTCATTGTTCCAGCAGGAGAAAAAGCACAAGGAAATTGGTTCCAGTAAAGTTGTAGGGGCTATTTCTAATGTTTGTATTTTCTCAATAGGTCTTTTTGAACCTATTTAGCGATTATATGTAGTGTAGAGTAGTGTAAATAATGACCGTCCAACTGCCTGAGGAAGGAGCTACAACAACGTTTTGTTCGCGTGAATTCACCTTTGTGTAGTAGGTAAACGGAAGCGTTTTCTTAAAATTTGCGTCCCATCTCTTTTCTTGCTCTAAACGGTTTACCACCTCATCGTAGCTGTGAGGTGTTCCTAGGTGTCGGGCTGGGATGTACAGCGGGGTGATTCATACCCCAGCAGGGTCTTCTAAGCTGAGTCCGGCGTTTCTATCAGGAAACCCATCTAAGAGTAAACCAATACCAGGATCCACCACCGTCCTGGTATTAACGTCGCCTAGTGGCAACTTCCCTCTGATCCATAAGGGTTGCGACTGGCTGTGGTGACGACCTGGGGACATGTCCGGCGCCAATTTCGCGACCCCGGAGGGATGAGCATGCTTGGTGAGCCCGGAGCGGGATCGAACCGCCGAACATACATTGTGTAATATCTAAGGTCTTCGTAGTGATTCGTTTTGCCGTTTTACTTTCGTGCGATCGTCTCCGTGTTCATTTTACAATGTGTTTCGTTTCTAATACCATCACTGGTTTCGTTTTACAGTTAATGTTCAGTCGCAAATTCCATAAGGAGAGCAAATATAGGGCCAAATGAAAGGTTATGACCATTTTTGTCAGTGGGAATTTATGTTCAAGGTTACTGATAATATGATGAACGTCGAGGATGTGGATATACCGACATTGGTTTCTGTTTTGGTAGGAATTCTTGTGATAATAAGCTCCTCCATGCTTTACTTCCTTCGAAAACAAAAGGACGAAGCTATGGACGAAAAGCAGGAACAGTAAGTTGTTAGCATAAGATTGAAGCCACAAATGTCAACGGAAGGTGTTCAGTGCCTGTCATCTTTCCAGGGAAGTCACCGGAATCAGTTCGGGCGACGTACAGAAGTCTGAAGGAGACAAAAAATCCAGTAGGCATAGAAAAAATGACCAGTGGAAACCGAAAGTGCGTATTTCATTTTCCTATGGAGTCAATCTAAAACAGGATCTGGGAAGTTCAGCGTTCTGCTTACTGTTTTCCTTAACTTGACCTTATTCATTAGAAGCTTAAGGTAAAAGATGTCTCTTATGATCACATATGGTCCGTGACCACTCTTAAAGGACACACAGCAGAGGTAACGGGAATCGATTTCGCTCAGGATGGGAAGAAGTTCGTTAGTGTATCGACTGATCGATCTGCGTTTTTGTGGGATGTCAGAGTAAGCCAAAGTTTGTTTTTTTCATCACTTTTTCAAAAACTGCAGGTTTCTAGAACTAGTATACACTATATCTTAGTAATAAAGCTTGGCTGAACTTCGAAGGACCACCATGGTGTGGTGGTGAACGCGTTAGCCCCCAGAGAAGGTAATAGCGGTTTCGATCCTCACCGCAGACAATAGGGGTCCGGAGATTTTGCAAAGATCTCAGCATGACTGTGGTTATAATTTTGGGCTTTTTTGATTTATAGTTTAGGATTTCGAAGAAAAAGCTCATAAATGTGTGAGTCAAGTTTTGGAGTTCGATACGGCTACAAAAGTTTCTTTCTCGCCGGACTGCAAAAGCATGGTTTTCGCTATGAAGCGTATGAACAAGGTAGTCCTTCATCTATGTTCAGATGTTTTCAATGGAGATTTTAAAAATCATTACCAACTTTTTCTTCGTGTAGCTTATGCCAGGGAGAAATAGAATTTTTAATGTTTGAGAGCTTATTAACGCAACAGTCCTTTATTCACATCTTCATGTCAGGTGCAAACCAACGCTAGATATTTTACGAACTTTCATATTGGGATAACCCGTCCTCACTTGTTGTGCAGTCCCCAGCATAATTTTCATTTTTTCGGAGTTTTGCTGATTTAGCTACTGTGGTTCCTCGGAATCCCAGCATCATCCAGGCCAAAGTATGCCCCAGGTCGTCACTACCACAGGCAGTCACCGTCCTTGTGGATAAGAGGGAGATTTGCCACTTTGCGACTAGTTTGATACCTGGACGGTGGTGGATCTTGCTACTGGTTTACTCTTAGCTGAGCTTCCTGATGGAAACGCCGAACTACTATGCTTGGTAGGCCCTACTAGGGATGAATCTTCCGTTGTACATAGCAGACCGACACCTAGGAACACCTCCTAGGCACGACGAGGCGGTAAACCGTTGGGAGGCATACTAGATATGCATGTAGAAAATGGTTTTGCAGATTTTTTATAGTCATCTTTGAGTAATGGATTTTTCAAGTCTGCTATTTTCCTAACCTAGATTGAAAACTAGTTTTTTTTTTCCAAGCGGACTGTTTTGTCGTCTATGACAGTGGAATAGGAAAGGTTGTTGGAGGAGCAAAGATCACCTGGAGCTATAAACTTTAACAGTATGGTAATACAAGGTGAGCAGTTGTACACCTTTCCCAAGCGCAGTGGTCCGAGACGTCCTTCAACACACATGGGATCGATCCCCACTCCACGTAGCCCTCCATACCCTCCTCTATTAATCTCTCTACGGTCGGCAAATTAGTACCAGACTTGTCTGTGAGGATAGCTGCACTGGCTGATTGCATCGGTAGGCCACCACGAGTCATCGTATAGACTAGATGTGCATTCAATCACCTCCAAACGACGCTTAATGAAGTCGAATGTATGGCGCCTTCCTCGGAGATTGATCAACGCCGAGAGCTTTGTCTTTTTACTATATTTGATCTTTGATCGAAAAGGCTTATGATTATTAACTACATTGTTTTGCAGTTGGCAGTGTTTAAACTTATGAAAAAGGAAGCTAGTGCTACTTACAAACTCGTTCATGCCGAGAATGTGTCGTTCCCGGTTGCTCATACCGTCGATATTTCGCACTGTGGAATTTCATCAACTGGTATGCCTCTGTATAATTAGCTGATATTACCATGATAGAATTAGATTTGCATATTTTTCTAAAATTTTTTTGAATGACATACACCTTAAAGGAAAGTTCCTGATGTCAGCATCACAGGATATGAAGATTGTACTGTACGATATTCATGGAAGCATTCTAAAAGTTCTTGAGCCCAAGGTTATCCCACTTTTCTTGGTTATAGCATGCCTAGTAGGATCTTTCGTTTTTTTTTTCTTTTCAAAGATGTTTTATAGTGCCTATTTTTCAGCTGAGTTCTCTTTTTGACGTCGCGTTGTCACCTGATGGGCGGTTTGTAGGTGCTTGTGGTTTCACACCAGATGTCTTTGTGTACGAGGTGGGATTGAGCTTTGAGAAATTTGTCTGAAATCATTATTCTCTTCCAACGGTTTACCGTCTAAACGTGGCTACGAGGTCTCCCTGGGTGTCGTCGGGCTGCGATGTACATCGAGGGCTTTATCTCCCTGGCAAGATCTCCCAAGCTGAGAAGGATCCGACGTTAGCGTTAGGAAGCATAGTGGCAAATTTCCCTCTGATCCGCAAGAGCTGCGACCGCCTGTGGTGGTGACGACCTGGAGAAGACTTTGGCTAAGCTGTCCTCAGGGCTCCAGCGTACCGTAATAGCTAATCCAGCAAAACTCCGAGAAAATGGAAATTATGCTGGGTTCCGCATAACCAGTAAAGACGGGCCCTCCAAGTATCCAAAAAGTTATTATTCGCGATAATTTAGGTACTTTTCAATCGTGAGGGCTCATTTCAAGAAGTTAAGAGAGCTTTTGACTTGAAGGTAAGCTGTATAAATCTTTTGTGACGGGGTATTTCAAAGAATGAAGGCGTTTATTAGGGTCATAACTCTGGTGTGTTTGCTGTTGCATTCAATTCTAATTCGACTCGTACCGTTACCGTATCTCGGGACGGTTACTGGAGAATATTCGATACAGACATACGGTACACTCAAGGCCAAGAAGCGATTGTTCTTAACAAGTGAGTTTCTCTTTAAGCCATTTAACACCGTTTTTCATAAATATTAGAATGCAATGGATTTATAGGGGTGAATGGTCGATGTTGAAAGGAGCCAGTGCAGATCATATTCGTTTAGCTGTGAGTCCTTCTGGGGGAAGCTTTGCCGTCACTTGTGGTTCGAATTTGAAACTATTCAGTAGTGAGGATGCTTCTAAAGACTTTCCAATGTGTGGGTTTCTCACTTAATATATTTTTTTTTGTAGAACTTGCACTAAACAGATCGCTTGACTTTTAAGTGACTCAGTCTCTTTCCGATTGTCTTTTTGCTTAAGATTTTTTTGCAATGTTTTTCGCACCACGTCGATAGATGCCTTGCGATGTTGTATTCTGCTAAGTTGAAGAAATGTAGCTCTCTGCATTAAAATTGTTAACAAAAAAAGAACAGCTTTTGATATGAGTTCGGCTTTTCGGTCCGGGGCGAATGACCTGCTTATTGTGCAAACAAAGTAAAACAAAGACTAATCAGTGTGCTTTTTTAGATTATTCAACGTGCACGAGGCTGGTAGAAATTTTTATGGGGCTGGCGTTTATACGTCATTGTCTTTTTCAGTACTGCGTTGATCTGCGTCCATTGTGCACAGCCGTTCATCCCCGCGGGCTGGGTCTTTGTAGTTGTATCAAGTGGGATCTCATGGATTTGAGCACCACGTGAATGAGGACCTCATTCGGCAGCGTTCTTTTTATACAGGACGGTTGTTGTGATGTTCCAGTTCGGAAGATTCGACTCGATACGACTAGAAGATCTAAATTGAGGAAATCGTGATGGTCAACGGATCTGAACAATCGAATGGGATCATCGCGGCTTTTAAGAAAGTAAAGACATTAAAACGTTAGCCGAATAAGAATTTCTGCTAACGTCATGTGAGGTGAACAATCTGAAAGGTATATTGATTACTAGGAGGTTAAAAGATGGTCAGTTTTGAGAAATACTTACGAATAGGTTGTTGAAGGTGAGCAGGACAATTAGTATCTCTGCCCAGGGTGGAGATGGTGACACGTGGGAACAAAGTATTGGGCGTGTTCCGTAGCTTCTGATGATTAGGCTTAGTCATCCAATGTGAAAGTAGGATCTCTTCATAGTTTTCGCATATAGCAGCGATAATCGTGTCTGCATTAACAAAAATATACTTGCTGAATAGGGTGTGTGTGTAGCAGAGTAGTCGGAGGCGCCCTGCGATACATGTAGGATCGATCCCAGCTTCCCAGGCTCCCCAAGCCTTCCATCCCATCAGGGTCAGCAAACTGGCACGAGACTTGTCTGTGAGAATAACAGCACTGGTTTGATACATCGGTAGACCACCGCGAGTCGTTGTAAGGGCCAGATATGCATTCAATCACTTCCGACGACGTTTAGTGAAGTCGAATACATGGCGCATCCCTTAGGGATTGATCAACGAGGAAAGCTTTATCCTTTTATCCCTATACTTGCTATATAAGACTTTCATTGTAGATACGTTAATGCACATTCTAACATATTTTAGTGCCAAACGTTCACGGTGATCATAAAGTTCACGTCATTCGTTTCTCACCATGTGGTCGGTTGATAGCAACTTGTGGAGATCGTTATATCCGTATATTCCGAAACATTGCTGAATATCACAGCGAGGTGGTGCGACTGAATAAGGTATGTTTATCCATATATCGTTCAAGGTTACTTCCATCGTCAGAGATTTCTGTTATACCCTTTTAAACACTCATATTCAAACGTTATTTATGTCCTCGTGCTTGTAAGTATTTAATTTCAGTAAGGTTACTCCATACCCATCTTATTAATACAGTCGACGTTTGTTATATTATTGTCACTCTTTTTAATTATATCATGTTTACTGACAACAAGTATCAATAACAATAATGTAAGGCGCGGGTAGTGCAGTGGTAGTGATGCTGTCCAGTAGGCGCGATGTCCTAATTCGACCCCACCTAGCGCTAACCAATCCCCCATCCCTTTAGGATTTGCAGATCGGTACCAGGCTTAGCTAAGATCGCCTAGCTCAGTGCACTCCACAAAAGGTGAATGTGTATGATGAAGGCCCAGAAACACCCTAAGACAGCTATCCCGTTATTCCAGAGAGAATTGGCACAGTGGGCATTCAGCGAGTTTCAGAAGACCGAAAATCCTCGACAAGCAACATGAACAACACGCGAATTCCGGAGGTCTTCGTTGAATTTGGACGCGAGAGAACAAATCGAATGGTAGAATTGCTGAGATCTATCCAGTATGTAGTGTCGCATCGTGTAAACAGACATGCAAGCAATAATATAATCTTCTTTTTTAATGTAACCACTCATATTTAAAAGCACAGTAAAGCCTCTATCAAAAAGATAATTTATGATGAACTTATATCGTTAAGCCTGAGGAATACTGTTTCTTTTTGTTGGGTAGTACGGCGTGGTTATTCTCACCGACGTTACAAAAAACTTTCACTTCTTTAACCCTAAAGTTTCACTTCATTTCAAAAACCTAGGCGTTCAATTGTTGTGTTTTGTCACGTAGTGTTCCTTCTCTACCTTGAAATTGACGATTTAAAAATTCTGAAAGTACTGAGTTTCAGTTGGTTTCTTGAGAAAAATTTGCCAAAAACAGCCGCCTTCTAGGTGAACTCGAGAAACTCAGTTGAGTGTCATTTGAGTTTCCTATTTTCTCTGCAAAATCCCATTTCATGCAGTGATTTTCTACCTAATGAACACGTTACAACCTGATGTTATGCTGAAACCAGTAGTACACGGTCTGATACTGATTGGTGTTTTGGTTTAATGACTCCATGAAACTATTTAACAGCCAAAAAGTCGCCAACCACATGCTACTCTGAACGGCTGTTCTTCCTCGGTGGACAGGTGAAAAATGCGGCTCTGAAGAAGGCGATTCTGCCGAAACGTCAGCTACGGTTGTGTTGTCGGTGTGTTATTGTATGGAAGTAAACGTATGCTGTTTAACAACCTCGCGATTGCTGAGAAAGAAAACGTCGAATTCATAATCCAATGCCGAAGTTAATAGAAAGCCGATCCTGGAAACTACTTAAGTTATTCAAATCTGATCTCATCAAATGTTGCAACTTTCCTTTGCTCATTTCATCAAGCATCCCATCGTTTCCATAAATTAATCTTTTTCGTAACTTGAAAGTGGAGATATTGTTATATAGTTTTATTTAATGAACGCTCCAAATTTGACGGTGAATTTGATGAAGAGTCAAACATACAGACTTCAATCTGTTAGTTATCATGCGTTGTTTTCCACTTGTTTCCTTTGAGAGAGTGAATCCTCTTGTTTATGACCCACTTGGGACAAATTAACCAACCCGAATTAAAAAAAATTGATCTCAGTTACATTGCAAAATCGCATGTGATAGTGATCAATTTGTCATTTTCTGAAGTTTACTGAAAATACTAGAAGTGCTTTGCAGATTGGTGTATTTCATTCTAGCGTGTTTAATATATCGCCTCTTTTTGGGACGCATCTTTTTTTTGGCTTAAATGGCTTTCTTCATCGTGACTTGTGTACAGGAATCCTTTATTTTAGCTCTTCAATGTTTGTGGGATGTAGATTCCCATTTAAATGATACAGGTTTCACTTTGGATCACCCTCTTGATGTCGCATTCAAGAGCGTTGACCTTACTTTCATCCTCCTTACCTAATCTACAGGTTTTCAATACGTACATTTACGTTTCCACGTTTACCTTTACATGACCCTTCATCGTATCTACTGTGTTGATTCCTACACTTCTTCCGATTCATCTCCTTCGCATTCATCGTCCTCGGTTTTCAAACATTTTGCGTGTTGTTTCGGCTGTTACTTGAGTATTTCGTCTTCTTTATGAATGCCATATAATGCTGGTCGAGTCAATTGTATTTGCAATCTTGGAGATATTCAGGTTGAAACGTTCTCACATGGACTGTGGAAGAGCTTTTGCTACTGCGATGTCCCTACAATGCTTATCCGAAAGCAGCAGCCGAAAGCTGCAATGACTTTAGAAGCGGAAAAATGGATGTGTAGTTCGATGTTGGGTGCCTTCACTACTTCACACCGCTGTTTTCCGTTAAAGCAGGAAATATAGAGTGCAAAAGTGCATATGGAGCCAAGTCTTCTCGTTTCTCCCTACTACATACTTGACAGTCTTTGGAATCCCTAGAGTACTCGTTTCTCATTAAATCTGGAATGTAGTTGTTCATCAGGTTGAAATGTTGGACCATATACACATAGCAGCGGTATTTGAGGATATTCATTCCTTACACCGTAAATTGAGCCTCGGAAACAATGCGTCTTTGATGAATATCATCTCTTTAAATTGAAAGCCAGTATTTTTGCATGCATAGGCAGTTGAAATTGGATCGCATTCGTTCTATATGGCTAATGCTTGATGTTAGGCGAGCGGTGTCAGCATGAAGGGGAATATCCTGTGACTACTTAGCATCGGTCGAAGTAAACCATATTATCAAATGATTGCCTTCCTGGGGTATATTGGAGAGTAAAACTGAACAATTTACGTTATATGTACTCATTGTGCTGGACTTTTTTAACAAATGAGGTTGTGATTGACGATTAATAACACCTAATTGGAAACTATTAATACTTACTTACTTGGATCCTTAGATGGCCCGTCCTCACTGCTTGTGCAGGCTCCAGCATACTTTCCATTTTTTCCGAGTTTTGTTGGTTCGGCCGTTGTGGTTTCCCGGAGTGCAGAGGTCAGCCAGGCCAGAGTCTGCTCCAGGTCGTCACTACCACAGGCAGTCGCCGTCCTTGTGGATCAGAGGGAGATTTGTCACCATGCTACTACTTTGGTACCAGGTTGGTGGTGAATTCTGATACTGGTATTGGTTTGCTCTTAGCTGGGATTCCGGATCGGATAGAAAAGTTGGGCTTCTTCTCAGCTTGAGAGATCCTACCAGGAGTTCCCAGGATCGACTTTCTCTTAACCTCGGCATTGGAATATGAATGTATCGTTTTCTTGTTCAGCAATCGCGAGGTTTTTAAGCGGCATACATTTACTTCCATAGAGAAACATAATACAACACAACATTAGCTGACGTTTCGGCAGCATCGCCTTCTTCAGAGCCTGGAAGGGTATACTGGTATACAATCTACTAGGCCAAACGCTTCAATAACACTTACAAGAAGACAAAAAACTGTGGTAACTACATGATCAACAGCTTCTTGAAAAACTCACCGCTTTTTCGTTACTTCCAATGAAGAAGCTTGGAACAGCTGATTATAGTCGCATGTGGTTGACGACTGCACCATCCCACATCAAAAATCGATGCGAACATACGGGATCAGGTCGCGTATGACCTCCGGGCATTCATCCCTGCTATTCATTGTAGGGTTTTTGGCATTTATCCGAAAAGCCTCAAGGAGTTTTAGCGCTGGTGTTTTGGACTCCTGTGCAAGGATATTGACTTTTACTTCAAAGGAGAAACCGAGAGAAAACTGGCTTCCGTTTTTGGACGTTCAAATAAACCTATCAAGTAGCGGTTACCTGATAAAGTGGTATCGAAAGCCAAGTAACAAGAACATTCTTGTTTATTTCCTTTCTTCTCACCCTTCACACACAAAGAGGGCGATTGTGAGAAACATGTTTCGAATAGCCACCTCTGTATGCTCTACCAGGGAACTAAAGGAAGAATCGCGCGACTTGGCTCGGCAAATAGCCATCTCCAGTGGCTACGAAATAGTAACCCAATGAAATAAGTTTAGAAGGAGAGCGACGCGCCCAATCGAAACACTTGACCAAAAGGAAGTCTCGTTTATGTTGCCTTGTATTAGCGATGAAGTAAGCGTAGCTATTACACTTGTATGACCGTCTATATGAAACAACAAATTGCGTAATTTGCCCTTACGACAGGTACGGTGATTGCATGAGACGAGGTACGATATATCTGATCTCTTGTAATAACTGCGAAGATGAATATATTGGCGAAATGGGCAGACCTTTGTGTATCCGCATAAAAGAACACCTAGATGGCAAACGAAAACTAAGACGAAGCACCCCACTAGGCACGCATAGGATACAAAAGCATAGCGGAGACGATTTTGAAGTGAAAGTCAATGTCCTTGCACAGGAGTCCAAAACACCAGCGCGAAAACTCCTTGAGGCTTTTTGGATAAATGCCAAAAACCCTACAATGAATAGCAGGGATGAATGCCCGGAGGTCATACGCGACCTGATCCCGTATGTTCGCATCAACGTCTGATTTGGGATGGTGCAGTCATCAAACCATATGCGACTATAATCAACCGTTCCAATCTTCCTCATTGGAAGTCACTTAAAAAGCGGTAGGTTTTTTCGAGAAATTGTTGATCATGTAATTACCAAAGAGTCTTTCGTCTTTTTGTAAGTGTTATTGAAGCGTTTGGCTTAGTAGATTGTATATCAGTATACCCTTCCAGGCTCTGAAGAAGGCGATGCTGCCGAAACGTCAGCTAGCGTTGTATTGTATTGTTTCTCTATGGAAGTAAATGTATGCTGTTTAAAACTTCGCGATTGCTGAACAAGAAAACGACCTACCAGAAGTATAAATACACCACTGCACATCGCAGCCCGACAACCTAGAAAACCTACCACGATGAGGCGGTAAACCGTTTAGAGGAATTATTAGTAGTTACTGAAAATCAAGCGATGGCTCATACCTTTTTATAAACCGTGTTTTTTCATATTGACCAGACCTATGGTGTTACAATTATTATTCTTTGC